GGGGTGTAGTTCAGTTGATAAAATGGTTTCCTAGCATGAGCAAATCCATGGGTTCAATCCCCAGCATATGTACCAGGTGACGCTCCATGCCTAGAATCCTAGCACTTGGGGTGGAGAGAGTCAGGAGTTCAAGGTTAGGCTGGGCTACAAGAGACTTGTCTCAAAAAGTAAAATAGAGCTGGATTTGGTGGCATACACTTATAATCCTATCATTCAGGAGGCATAGTGAAGAGGATCCTAAGGCCTGCCAGGGCTACTTACCTCAAAATTTAAATTAAAAAAAAAAAAGTAGGGGAGGGGTTAGGAAGGGGGCTCAGGGATTAAGGGGATGCACAGTTTTTGTAGAGGACCAGAACTCAGTTCCCAGCACCCACATCAGGCAGCTCACAACCACCTGCAACTCCAGCTCCAGGGGGCTCCAACACCTTTGTCTTGCATGAACACCTGCACCATGCACATACCCACCCACACACATATAAACATGACTACAAATAATAAAAATACATACTTTTAAAAAACAAACTGGACCAGTCACTGTGAAATCCCCTCCCTGATGGCACATCCCAGCCTCAGGAATACTGTGCCCAGGGTGAGGCAGGATGGCATGGCAGCAGGGGACTGGCTGAATGCACCAGGAAAAGACCCAGAGTCTGCCTTAGGTCTTACATCTGCACTTGAGGATCTGCTCTACAGAGCCTGATGCTTGAGGCTAACTGGGGCAAGCAGAGCCAAACTGTTGGAGGGCTAACTGTGAAAGCCAGTGTTTCCCTCCAAAGACTTCCTATCATGCATAGCTATAGATACCGGAAATCCCAACATGCATCAGTGAGCTGCTTTGCAAACAGGCCGCAAAGAATATCATCTTTGTTCCTGACATAAATGGCTTGTGTAGAAGCTGACTTAAAAACATACTGAAGCTGAGTGTCATGATGCATGCTAGTTAATTCCAGCATCCTGGGGGCTAAGGCAGGAAGATGGAGAGTTCTGGGCCTGCCTGGGTAACAACAGAAAAACCCTGACTCAGAGAGAGACAGAGAGTAACTGAATGACAAGCATATTTATCACTGATATGTGTTTAAAATTTAAATATTTGTATTTTACAACTCCATACACTGAAAACAGCTAAAAGGAAGAGTCACAGGCCTGGCTATGTAGGTCTGTAAAGTCAGTAACTCAGGAGGCTGAGGCAAGAAGATTCCAAGTTCAAGGCCTGCCTGGGCTACTAAGGAAGTTCAAGACCAGTCTGGACAACCTAGCAAAACTCAATAATGAAAATGAAAGCGGTCTGGGAGTGCAGATCAGCGGTAGAACACTCGCCTTGTACTCACAAGGCCCTGTGTTTGGTCACCAGTGCTGCAAATAAACAACATCGAAAAGAAAAGTGAAGGGCTACATAAAGTTGCCTGGCTTCGGAGAATAACAACACTTATTCCTAAGTACTAAGCACTCAGTACCTCGTTCTGGAGTATTGATGGTGAGTATTAAAGTGCTTAGTCTTTAGAATTAAGTCTACCAATCCCCTTTCTGGATAACACAGATGTCCACAATGACCATTTAGGTTCACCTAATACTAGAGGCTGGACTAGCATTGTATTCAAGAACTAAGGACTCCCGGACATTTTCAGTCCCCACTGGAAAACAACCTAGAGGGAACTAAACAGACAGGACGGTGGGGACCTTTCCCAAGCACAATTCAGATGCAGATCACAGTCCACCCTCACAGCAAACCTTCCCTGCGGGACAGCCTCCTCTGAGGCACACAGCCATAGTGAGGGCAGCTGTGAGTCACCGAAGGCCTCAAGATGGCTACCGGGTAGCTTCCTTCATCATCTGCCCTCATAAGTGACAACATCCCAGGGCAGTACAGCCACGGCAGGACACCCAGTGACATTCAAACAACCCAAGGAATGCTCCCTTACTTCCTCTTCTTCCAACAGAACCCATATTGGGACAAGTGAGCTGTCAAAGCTTAACTGGAGAAAACTGTATTAAATCTCTAGAAAAGTTACGGTAGCCTGCTTTACAAGGGCACGTCCACACCAGGGGCGCATACTACTGAATACACTTATAGAGGTTGACCCCATGCCCACAGCAGACATGTTCCAAAACCCCAGTGGAGCTCGAAACCTTGTACATACTCTGCATACATGCCTATGATAGTTTAATTTATAAATTCAGCCCTGTAAGAAATGAACAATAACTAATAATAAAGGGTTTTAATAATATACCAAAATGTACCTTATATGGATGTGTTCTCATTCTCTCTCTCATATCCCATTTCAGAGCTGGGCCTCAGGTGACTATTGAGAACCATAATGGCAGAGAATAAAATTGTAAGGAGGACTATTGTTTACCTGGCAAAACCTTCTGATTGGCAGAAATAAAAACCCTAACCTTCACTTGCCAGAAGTCTTGCCCTGGGAAGACATAAAGAAGCCTCTACCCCGTCTTTATAGGGTACTAATGACAAACCAAGGTATGATTCCATCAAAGTTCAACTTGGGGGACCAATGGGTTCACTGCTGACAGCGCATGAGAAGAGTAGGTGACCCCAAAGCAATCCTGGCCCCAGAAAGTGTCACCCCAGCATGGACGGCGGACTTCCCCTTTCAGTTACCTTTACACTCTCTATGTATGTGCGATTAGGGCAGAATTAGTACAACTAGCCATGCTGGGCATGGTGTGCATGCTTTTAACCCCAGCACTCAGGAGGCAAGTTCAAAGACATCAGTTCCAGGGCAGCCAGGGCTACACAAAGAAATTCTGTCTCACAAATAAACAAACAAACACCTAGCCAGTAGGGGCTGGAGGGTAGAGCTGGGATCCTAGAAGAGAAACCAATGACCCTTCCCAACCCCGCCTACATCAATAGTCAATAAATCTGATCTGGGTGCCAACAAGCAGTCACAGCTATTTTGCTGAAGAGGCTAGCATTCCGTATGTAACACCTGGTGTGTGTGTGGGGGGGAGATGGCACAATGTGGAGACTCAGTGAAGAGCTGCAGAGGTAAATCTGAAGGAAGCAGGAGGCAGATGTGAACCCCAAGAGAAAGGCTAGAGATGGATGCAGCACTGGAACGGTCCTGTAGATGGGGGCCCAAGCATAGGGGGGCAAAGCCCCCCAGGACTGACTCTCCATGGAATACTGAACCAGAGATGAGTGGACCGTCTACAGTGGAGAGTTCACAGAAAGGGCAGTGAAGGGAAAGGATTCCATTATGAGAACTCTGAATGAAAACTGGGTTCCTTCGGGCTCTCCAGCAGCCAGGGAAGGTTTCCAAACACAAAAGCACAGACACCCGGTGAAGACTCTGTCCTGACCTCAGTGCATTTTCTGGGCTTCAATACCCACATCTACCTCAGTCTGCTGTGTCTAGTAAAGTCAATGTCCCAGATTACACCCTGCAACAACTTTGCTAAGATTGGCCCCCTAGAAACACTATCTGAAGACTTTCAATGACCTTTGATTAATAACCGAAACCCTGACTCCAGAACCCAGAGGAATACTGGAAACATTCGCACTCCCGTGCCTTTGACAACATACAGCACACTGTTGGAAACATACTTGTTGAGAACGTTTAACCTAGGTAAAATTAGAAATGACCCTTTTATAATTAGCGATTAGTTACTGGTAAGCATGCTTTTATTCATTAATTAGTACTCTATACTAATTATACTGCTCAAATAAGTTCCCTCTTTTTGGTGGAGGAGATGGAATGGGCTTTGGACATTCTGTATGATTGACACACCTAACCCTTCATCAATTTTACAGTATTTCACTTACACAAGGACCAGCTACTTACTAGCAGGCACCTGGCCAACAGTCCTATCAGAAGTTTGGGGGTTAAGTCAAGACCTGGTAATCAGGGGCTAAAGAAATCTCACTTATCCGTGTGACCTGCAGCCATGTGAAGGAGCAAAAATTCAAAAAGTAAAGCCTAATTTAAAAAAAAAATCGTTTTGGGAATATACACATAGATACATATTTACAAATGTACATGTGCGGGCTTTCAACTTGCATGAAATTAATAATATACTAAAGACGAAACGGGAAACCTGAGTCACCATTCCGTAGGCACCCAGGACTTAGTGTCTGAAAGGAGTCTAGATGTCACAACAGACTAATTACTTCAGGCAGTGTTTCTGCAGGACCGGGAGGGGAAGAAAAAGAGGGGCGTGCTGCAGGGAGTGAAGTAAAGGATTACATTTCAAACGTGCCAAGTGAACGAACCTGAGAGAAACTGACAGAATTCTCACCCGACACATTTGTTTATCCCAGAGGCTCCCTTTAAAGTCTTATTGCCATGGCAATCGCCCGGCTAAAGGTGAGTGCTTCCCACCTGACCTCGTTCAATCAAAAGTGAAAGCGGAAACTTTTTCCACCTGGGTCCAAACCCGCATAACCACGGTTTCGGATCCAAACCAAGAGGACAAACAGCTCAACCACCGCGGGGCTCTGGGGTACTGAGATCACGAATGCCACGCGCCAGCTGGGAAACTGTGTCACACCTCTCCAATACCCCAGTAGGTCGGATGGGTGTCCTCACACACAGCCCCAGGACCCCTTGCCCTCTTTCCCACGTCACACACTTCCTGACTCTTCCATCATCTCCACTCGCAACTTGGGCTTCTCATTCTGTTTGTGACTGCGATCCGGACTGCCGACCCAGGGAGGGAAGGAGAGGGACTTTGGGGCTTCAGAGTGGGATCTGGCAAAGGGCAGGCGCAAAGCGCACCATCCCACGTGCGGCCCCTCGCCGGCCACCCACATCAGAGGGGACCCGGCGCGCTCCCACTGTGCGCGGCGCTGGAGTTGGGGTTCGGATGGGGGAAATCGGAGTCCCCAAGCCTAGCAGCACTTTTAGCAACCAGGGAGGGCTGGACTCCCGGGGCTGCAGCACCAGGGGAACCCGGCGGTGGAGTGTGCGCCAGCTCGGCGGGGCCAAAGCCCGCGGACTCGGTGGCGCTCGGGTACGGGGTGGGGCGGGGCAAACACTCACCAACCCCGTACTTCTGCCTCTTGGTCGGGATCCAGCGGGCCATGGCGACGACCTCGCGCCGCGGCGCTAGCGGCTATAGCTACTCGTGCTCCTAGCGCTGCATGACTCTTCCGCCATGTTCCGGCAAAACTTGGGCGACTTTGGCGCGCCGGCCGCGTCTACGCCGCGCCGTCCCGCCTCGCTCGCGCCCGGGGCCCCGCACGCCCGCGCCGCCCGCCCGCGGTCACCTGCTGGGGCCGGCGGCCGCGCTGCCCCGCGCGCCCTCCCCGGCGCCGCCCCGGCTCCTCCCGCTGGCCGCGCCCTCTGCGCCCCGGCCGCCCTCCCGCCTGCCCGCCCGCCCACCCGCCTTCCCCGCCGACTCCGCCTCGCCCCAGCCGGAGCCGCGGCCGAGAGCTGCCCGCCCGGTCCTCCCGGGGTCGGCTCTGCGGTCCCCTGCGCTCCCGGGCTGCGCCGCCGCGCGCGGAGGAGGAGCTGGGGAGAGAGTCACCGGTCGCCTCCGGACGCTCAGTAAATATTTGTTGAATGAATGAGCGGTGAGCTACCGCCTTCGCCTCCGGGAGCGTCTGCCGAAGCCCCGGGAGCCGGAAGCCGGGTTTCAAGGCCCGCAGGGAACTAGTGCAAGGGACACGGGCGCTTCAAAAGTATCCAATCTAGGGGACCTTCCGTTAGGAAACTGTTGACAAAGCTCTAATCTGGAAATCCCGAACTCAGGGACTTATTTCTTCCCATTTGCAGTTTCACACCAAGGGACGGTGTCCGCTCCAAGGGGTCCCCTTTCCAACTGGCCCCCTGCCCAGAAGCCACCCCGGTGGGGAGGACCCGGGAACATCCATCCCTGGTCTTTTTCCAGACTCCAGATTGAAGACTCCAAAAGGCGGCTGTGCGTTGAACTGCACAGGGATGCGCGTGGCGCCCTCTGCGGGGAGATGCTCTTCCCCTGGAGAAACCTCCAGAATGAGGTAGACTCTCCACTTAGTAAAATTTCAGACTAAACGGCCGGTTAGCTTCGCCATCTGAAAAAATACCTCTTGCGAGAAATTGTGTTGTTCTTGGAGTCTGTGGAGGCTTTCTTGCCAGTTTGGAACCTGACAAGAATAGAACATGAGATTAAAACACGCAGTAAAAGACAGTAAGGCTTGATTAGAGATGAGTGAGCTCTGGTGACTTTTTGCAGACCATGCCCAAATAGCTTTTTAATCCTGGTTTTCCTCTTTAGAAAGTAAGTCTCGAACTTGGAGTCCTGGATGAGATAAACGTAATAGGTACCTATTAATGACCCTGCTCCGGCCTTTTTCCTTAAAGTGGTGCAGTTAACATCTCATTTTAAATGTCAGTTTTTATTCTTTATAGGGGGAAAACTCAAAGTTAGACACCATTACATAATGTGTCATTTATTACTTTTGTAATTTAAAAATAAGTGTTCGCTGTGTACTTAATACTGGATGTTTAAAAAAATATAAAATCACCAACGAATCTAAACGACAGGAGAACAATCAGCCACATCACAAACTGAGCTACTGTACTAGAAAGAGTTCTGAAAAGAAAAAAAAAAACCAAAATGGGTAAGAAACACTCTTTAAAAAAGAAAAAAGAAAGAAATTCCGATAGGAATCTATGCATAATACACAGCAAGACATAGTTCCATCGCCGTAGACCTGGCATCCACAAAGACCCCCACCATCTCCCCAAAATAACTTCTCCTTGGTCAATGACACCATGATCAACTTAACCACCCAGGCTAGGTAATGTCTTCTTCCTTCCTCTATAAGTGGCCTACCATGTGTTGGGCACTGTTCTGGAATGGCGGTTCAGTAGTGAGGTAAGTGAGACCCCCACCTTCACACCGCTGGTGAAGGAAGTAAGACAAGAAGAAATAAATGCATGCTGCCGGAGGCTCCGCCTGCAGAGAGGAACCTAGCAAGGAGCATGGGGAGTGTGGGTGCCATGGATTTACAGAGAGCCATCTGGAAAGGCCTCTGAGAAGATAAGAGGAGATTGAAGGGCAGAGCTGCAGGAAGTGAGGATGACCCACGATAAAGGGGGAAGTGTTCCATTCGGCCTGCACAGCAGATGCAGAGGCCACCGAGCAGGTCTAGCAGGCTCCAAACTGGCAAAGAATCTTGGGCCGTGAGTGAGCTGAGTAAAACAGAGGAGAGCCTGGCTCAGGAGGCTGAGGTGGAGTGGTGAAGGAGGGCCGTGACCAGGATGAGGACTTCCTGTGTTATTACAAAGAAGTTCTGGAGCTTTGGAGCTTGGGTTGGTGGGGATGCCAGACACTGTCCAACTGTGTCTGCAAGGGCTAAGGATGCCAGTTCATGAAGACAGCTGGGGATGGTAGGCAGCTGTGCAAAGGGCCTGAGTTCTCGACACAAACTGAAGGGAGTTGCAGCAGGAAGACAGTGGGAGCAGAGAAGGGTGCTCCCTGAGGCTTATTGGCCTCTTTGCTTTCCTAGCATGTGTTTCTGGAAAAAGCCTGACAAAAAGATGTGCTTATGTTTTGTTGTTTTTGGTTTTTGTTGTTTTGGAATCTTTCCTCACACTGTATACACATAGGCTCTACAGAGCTTCGCTTTGGGGTGTGAGAGACAAAGTCTGTGAAGAGTCATGACTCCAAGACTCGGGGCTTGGACAACTGGTGAACACAGCTACCGTTTTTTGTTCGTTGATCTGTGATACCTGCCTGGTTTGTACCTTCTGTTTTGGATCAAAGTTTACTTCCTACCTTTGACTACTTCCTAGGATTTACTTTCTCACCCACGGCCAAGCCACAGCTCGCCCTGGACCTTAGCAACTGTCAACCTTGGTCTAGAACAGAGGTCTGCTGTGGAGCGGGGGCTTCTGAGTTCCCCTCAGCCACCTGTGTGCAGAGAAATTGATGGTCTTTGAGTACCTATTTTACGTTTAATACACACTAGAGTGTTGATCCTTTCAACCAAAACCATTTCAACCAGCTCACTCTCCGTAGTCATGAGCTATTTCCAAAACTCTGTATTTGAATTTGGATTCTAAGATTTCAAGCACTGGCAATGATTGCTTTTAAGAGAGCTGGAGGAAAATGGAAAACTTTCATTACAACTTGCCCTGTGTTTATTCTTTTCCCTCTGCAGACTGAAGTCCACCCACTTTGTTATATCAGATGGTTGTAGCCCAGTTTGAAAATCCATTTAAATCATAAAAGCACAGCTATTCAAAGTCTTGTTATTAAAATGAGGTTTAAAATTAGAGAGTTGACCAGATGGGTAGGTGGAATAACAGCCTGTTTCCCAGAATTATCCTTTCCTTTTTTCCTTCTGGTGCTTTTTCAGAAGGAAGAAAAAAAAAAAAAAAAACCGAACCATGAAACGTACTCCACAATTACAGCTACTTAGATTCCAAAGCCCGTAAGAATACCAGCACCTCATGCACCCAAGAATTCTTGCATCTGTGCTTTTGGGAGCTCCAGAGGAAGAAATGAGGAGAAATGAATTTCTAGGCTAGCTTGATTGGCCTGAATTCTGGAGCTATCCCTGACAGCTCTAATATAGGACACCAAGACAGCTGGTCAGGACTCCACTTTCCTCATTGATCAGGTTTATTTTACCAAGTCTGCCTGACACAACTTTCTTAGAAGAATATATGGATTCTGTCAAGGATAGTTTTGTGGGAATTGTTTGTTTTTTTCTAAATAAGGAAGTAAGTTGCTGCTAGAACTACACAAAATAATAAGGAATGCAAATGATTATTGGATCGGTGGTGCACACCTTTAATTCCAGCACTAGGGAAGCAGAGGCAAGGCAGGGCTCGGCGAGTTCTAGGCCTGCCTGGCCTCTGGAGTAAGTTCCAGGACAGTCAGAGCTACACAGAGAAACCCTATCTCAAAAAACCAAAAATAAGGCCAGCCTAGTCTACAGAGTGAGATCCAGGACAGGCGCAAAGCTACACAGAGAAACCCTGTCTCAAAAATAAATAAATAAATAAATAAATAAATAAATAAATAGAAATAAAAATAAATGATTATTGGTTCTAAGCAGAGATTTGTGGGCATTTACAGGCCAATACTATGGAGCAGGTCATGCACCGGAATTTGGAACCCCTGAACTGAACAGGGCTATGGAGCTCATCTTTTGAGCTCCAGAAACACTTTGTCATACACCTGGAGATTCTCACATCATTCTCTACTCTTCCTCCAAATGGTGCAGATGCTGATCGTCACTGGATCCATCCTCAACATGACCACCTGGCGTTGGGTAGGAAGGACATGGACCCTGATGGTTAGGGAGAGAATAACTTTGTTTTTATGCCATTACTCTTGACCCCCTCATGGGAAGATTTATGCTTGGTTGACACTTTAAACCTCTTACACAACCAAACAAGACACTTTTAGTTTTATTTCTAGGATGTTCCTTGTTGTAAACATCTACATGAGATGAGGCTGCCTAGGGAAGGAGATTGATGATACGAACATTAAAGAAATCGTTGGTTTGTTGGTGGTTTGGGGAGATAGCTCAGCAGTGAAGTGTTTAAAGTGTTTTCTGAGTAAGAGTGAAGACCTGAGTTTGAATTTCAGAACCTATATAAGGCTGGACGGGGCACAGTGGTGTGCTATAATCCCGAGTCTCTATAAGGGGACATGGCACAGTGGTGTACTGTATGTAATCCAGGGTCTTTATAAGGAGACGGGAGGTTGAGACAGGAGGTTCCCCTGAAGCTTGTAGGCCAGCTAGCAGAAACTACAAGAGATTCAATTTAAACAAGGTATAAGGTGGAGACTGACAATCATGGCTCTCTAAGTTCTCACTGACATCTACGTGTGCATGTGATACATACCAGCACTCACACACATGAATGTGTACACACACATAGACACATACACAGATTTTTAAATTAATCCATAGTTCGTCGAAAACTATAATAGATTCACAGTCATGTGAGATGAGTGAAAGCTTGTTGATTAAAACATAGCTCCATTTATATAGTTTTAAAATACTATGTATAGTTTTTGAAAGGTCCATGTATATACATTAAAAAGTATGTCTTCCTAAAGTGTGGCACGGTCATACATATCTGTAATCCTAGCATTCAGGAGATGGAAGTAGGAGCATCAGGAGTTCGAGGCCAGCCTAGGATACATGAGACCCACTCTCAAAAAACAAAAATAGGAGCTGGAGAGATGGTTCTATGGTCAAGAGCACTTACTGCTCTTGCGGAGGACCCAGGTTCTCTT